TGATAAAGGGTATCCATGAAAAACCCACAGATAAACGTCATACTCAGTGGTGAAAGACTGAAAGCTATCCGCCTAAGGATCAGAAATAAGACAAGGACATCAACTCTCACCAATTTTAGTCAAGATTATACTAGAGCTTCTATCCAGGACGATCAGGCAAGAAAAGGGTATAATGAGAATGTGAATAGTATAACAAGTTACTTCTGTAAATCATATACAAATATTTGATCATGTGAACACATTGCTAAGTCTCCTCCCAGAGCCTTGGAAGGGGTCTGTGAAGACAAAGACCCCCGGAGCTAGAGGTCCCTTGGCTTTATAGTACGCCCTAGTCTGAATTGTCATGTAACATTATCACACAATGGAAGACTATGAGGCAATGAAAATTAATACAGTGCTGTTTCATTCAGTGACATGGGTAAGTTGGGGTGTCTGGGTGGCACAGTCAGTTAAGCTTGCAACTTTGCTCAGGTCATGACCCCACAGCTTGTGACTTTGAGCTCTGCATTGGGCTCTCTGCTGTCAGCACAGATCCAGCTTTGGATCCTCTGTCCCCCTCTCTCTTTGCCCCTCCCCTGCTCTCTGTCTCCCCAAAATAAGTAAACATTTATTAAAAGATGATATAGGCCAGTCTTTAAAATATAATGTTGGGGCACCTGGCTGGCTCAGTCAGTAGAGTATGCAACTCTTGATCTTGGGGTCATGAGTTCGAGCCCCACATTCGGCATCGACATTACTTTAAGAAATAAAATATCATGTTGAACAAAAGCAGTTAGCACAAAATAACATATATTGTGATATAGTGACTTGAATAGCATATCCCCAAAACTGCTGCATCCCCGGGCCCTTAGAATGTGTCCTAATTTGGAAAAAGGGTCTTAAAACTGTCATTAGTTTAAGATCTCAAGATGAAATCATCCCAGATTTCAGGTGGGCTCTAAATCCAATGATTGGTGTCTTTATAAGAGAAAAGAGAGGGAGATGTGGACACACAGAGACACAAAGGTGGAGGCAGAGATGCTGTCACAAGCCAAAGAATGCCAGGAGTCCCCAGAAGCTAGGAGAGCAAACAAGGATACTCCCTAGAGCCTTTGGAGGGAGCACTGCCCTGCCAACACCTTGATTTTGGACTTCTGGCCTCCAGAAGTGTGACAGAATACATTCTGATAACATTTTTTAAAGTTTATTTATTTTGAGAGAGAGAGAATCCCAAAGAAGCTCTGCATTGCCAACGCAGATCCTGACGTGGGGCTTGAACTCACGAACTGTGAGATCATGACTTGAGCTGAGGTCAAAAGTCAGATGCTTGGGGCACCTAGGTGGCTCAGTTGGTTAAGCATCCGACTTTGGCTCAGGTCATGATCTTGTGGTTTGTGAGTTCAAGCCCCATGTCAGGCTCTGTGTTGACAGCTCAGAGCTTACAGCCTGCTTTGGATTCTCCCTCTCTCTCTGCCCCTCCCCTACTTGCTCTCTCTCTATCTCTATCTCTCTCTCTGTCTCTCTCTCTCTTTCAAAAGTAAATAAATAAACATTAAAAAAAAAAAGTTGGATGCTTAACCGACTGAGCCACCCAGGTGCCCAGAGAGAATACCTTTTTGTTTTAGCCACCAAGCTTGTGATTGGTTGCAGGAGCCTTACAAAGTTAGTAAACCATATAATTACATTTCTAAACACGAGTCTTTAGAAATGTGTGCTTGCTCACGTTGCACAACGACAATGATAAGGAAGGGAGTTATGCTCACAAAGTCAGGAGAGTGATTAACTTTGGGGAGAAGGAGGGCTGTAATCTGGAAAGCACAAGGAGGTGTTTCTGGGGGGTACTGGCAGTGTTCTGTTGCCTGGAGAGTATGACATGGTTCTTCACACTCTAATAATCTGTTGAGTTGCACCTTTATATCTTAACCACTTTTGCTTATCTGTATCGCTTTTCACAATCATCAAGTAATTACACTCATTAAAAAGTGAGGAAAAATTCCAAAAGCCCTCCAAACACAAAAGTTGGCATTAAGTCCATTTTAAACTGAAAGAGCGGTTGCCTCTAAGATGATCAGGTTATTAGATGTAAAGAAATGCCCTCTTCTTGCCTAATACACCTGAGAAGCTCAGGATTGGTCCTGGGCAGAGAATAGACGAGGTGGGTCCAGTTTTCCAGGAGAATCGGCCCTTCCCTGGCCAGACTCCCCTTGCTTCCCCCAGGGGGCGCTGCTCTTCACAGAACTCAGCTTCCAGGGACTGGAGACCTCCCTTCCTTTGCTCCTTCATTGCACAGCCTCATTTTCCAGGAGATTCTCACCAGGGATGATCATGTCCTTGAGGGAAGACCCTGCTGCCTGACAAAGAGTTGTGGCCCAGGTCTTGCAGACCTCAACACACCGATAATATCTCCTTCCTGGATATCCAAGAGGAGGCACAGTAATGGAAGCCCACGCCTCCTCACTCATTGCCTCCCTGCCCCCCAAAGTAACCCACAGACAAAAGCTGCTGGGAGGACTCCAAGGCTGAGTCCAGCTTTAGTCTGGTTTTGGTGAGGCTGCCTTGGGGCTCCCTCTCTCCACATCAGGGTGGGCAGCTTCTGTGCTCTGGGACTAGCTGGGTTCTCTCACCCCATCTCCCCGATGAGCTGTGAAGCAGAACTCCTGCGTTCTGCTCCTGATACTCTATCAGATCTGTCCTTCTGGGTTTCAAGGTCTTCCACCCACCCACCCATTGGGGCTTGGGCTGTGATCTGAGAATCCCAGGGAGGCTGAAGCTAAGGTGGAGCAGAATTCAACTCCCGCTGTGTTTGTATAGCATGACACTATTTTCATTCATCCTCACCATTTCATTCTCACGGTCTCCCTCATAGGATGCCCATCTAACAGATGAGAACACTGAGGCAGAGAGGTTTCATACTTGTCTCTGGACCCAGAGTCTCTTTCATTTGTTCAACAAATATGTATTGAGCATAGGTCTGGAGCTAGACACTGAGGGTGTGACAGTAAATGAAACAGACATGTCCCCTGCCCTTCCCCAGCAACTGACACTACTCCAGTGAAGAGGCAGAAACAAACAAGGAGGGGCACCTGGGTGGCTCAGTTGGTTAAGCATCCAACTCTTGGTTTGGGCTCTGGTCATGATCTCATGGTTTTCTGAGTTCAAGCCCCAGGTCAGGCTCTGTGCTGACAGCACAGAGGCTGCTTGGGATTCTCTCAATCTCTCTCTCTGCCCCTCCTCTGCTCACACTGTCTTGTTTCCCTCAAAAATAAATAAAAACGGGGGCACCTGGGTGGCTCAGTCGGTTAAGCGTCCGACTTCGGCTCAGGTCATGATCTCACGGTTCGTGGGTTCAAGCCCTGCGTTGGGCTCTGTCCTGACAGCTCAGGGCCTGGAGCCTGCTTCGGATTCTGTGTCTCCCTCTCTCTCTGACCCTCCCCTGCTCATGCTGTCTCTCTCTATCTCTCAGAAATAAATAAAACATTATAAAAAATGTTTAAATAAATAAATAAAAACGTAAACTTAAAAAAATAAACAGGTAAGCAAAGGAACAAGTCATTATAAGTAGAGGTAGGCGTTGTGAGGAAAGCGAGGCAGTCATGATGCATAGGGAGAAGAAACATCTCTGAAAGGGCGGGGTTTATAGCAAAACAAAGAGGCGACCATAAGGGCAGGGAGAGGAGGAAACAGGCTGCAAGAACAGCTCAGGGGTTCACGAATGGAAAGGAAGCTGTTGTGGCTGGAACATGGAGAGGAAGAGGAGAGGAGAAAATATGATGGATAGGAAGGTGGGGCTGGGTCATGTGCACCTTATAGGTGGTTCAGTAGTTAAAGTGTAGAGGAAAGCCGTGGAAGAAGGGGAAGCAATGGAGAAGCATCCTTCAATTTCTATTTTAGAAAGCTCCTCCGGGTGCTTAGAAAAGAGATCATTGGGAGGCAAGAGTGGAACAACATATATTCAAGCATATATTTATTGAGCCCTGCAAGTGAGGGTACCAGACGCCATTCTGGGCTCCTGGAACACACCCCAGTTTATCAGTTATTCCAAGCAACCAGATGAGATGCAACTAAGTAGCAGGTAAGAGATGATGGTGGCCTGGACAATGGCGATGGCATGGGGCAATGACAAAAAGGCAGGATGGGAGAACAGTCATGGCTAATGTTAACTGAGTGCTTACTATGTGCCAGTCCGATCATACTTCTAAATGCTTCACGGAGTATGAAACTAATTCATCCTTCTAGGAAGACTGTGAGCCAGATCCTATTATAATCCTCCTGTTAGAGGTGAACTGGAGCCCAGAGAAGTTAAAGGGCTACCTGCCCATGCTTGGATTTGACCCCAGGAGTACTCACGTCGGGGACCCTACTTCTCAAGAACTATGCCCAGGGGTCTGTTTACAGAGTCACACCTACGCAGATATCCAGCACCCCCTTTCCCCCTCCCCACATCTTTAATACCTGGAGATAAGGAGATGGAGGTTAAGCTTCTGGGGATGGGGGGTGGGAGAATGGGGGTGTGTGGAGGGGATTCTAGAGCGATGGTCAACTATATTCAGGAGCAGCCCACTATTAACAGCAGGACTCTGTCGCCAAGACCGGGAAAAGCCGGGGTTGGGGGCCTTGTCACCGGCCGCCGCCATTGGCCGAGCTGGAGCTGCCGGAGTGGGGCGCTCGCAGCTGCCGCTGGGGTCTGGCCTTGGCCGCCGCGATTGGCGCGGTGGAGCCGGCGCGCCGCGCGCGGGGGGGGGGCCGGGGACCTGCGGGGATGCGTCTGATTCTTTGCTTCCTGCTGTTGAGCAGCTGCCCCGGGGGCTGGGACGCTTTTAGTCCCCACGGTCAGGAGGAAAGCTGGGGGAAGGGCCGGGAAGTGGGGATTGTGGGAGCGGTTGGTGCACGAAGCTGGGGGAACCGTGCGGGGTGGGGAAAGTCAGAGGCCGTCGTGCAAGCCGCGGGGTGGGGGTAGGGGTTAAAAATCGGAAGGTGGAGGTAGGAGGTAGGATGGAAGCGAAGTGGGCCCCAGGGGAGATTAGGGGTGCAGCAGGAGGAATGGTGGGGATCCCCGACCAGAGGGGACAGATCGAGGCCACGAAGCCACGGGGAAAAACGCACGTGGAGGGCCAAGGTGCAGGTATCCAGAGCTGAGAGGTAGGCGGAAGGAGCCGAGCCACAGGCATCCAGCCTCGACCTCCAGAGGAGGCCTGGGCTTACCCTCCTGCCTGGCGAAGCCGGTTGGGACGGCTGCGGGAGCAGCCTAGCCTTCCCCACGGTCGTGGCCCTCCACGTGTCCTCCGTGAGTCCTTGAACTTGGCCTTTCTGCGGCCTGGGGCTCTGCAGAGTGCGGAAGGGGCGCGGAGGGGCCTCAGGCCCTGTGCAGATGCCTGAACCCTTTCATATTCTGGATTTTCCCTCCACTCCCCACCCCCCAGACCCCCCATCTATCTGGACTGAGGAGGGCCCCTATGGTAGAAAAGTTACTCCCCGAATTGTGTAGCTGGGTATACTGTGGCTTTCAGGATAAGAACCTGGGATCCCCAGGCCCAACAGTCTGAACCCAGCTCCCAGGCTTCAGTCGTTCAAGGATTCTGGAACTCTTTCCAGCTCTCCACCCAGGAAGCGGCCCAACTTCTTCCCCCCCCATCCCTACCCTGTCTGCCTGTCTGTCCATTCAATTTTTGTAGCCCTCTGAGGCTCTGCTCGCCTGTCCATCCACAGGTTGTCTCTTTGCCCAAAGACTCTGCTCTTACCTGGAAGCCTGTGCTAAGGGTGAGTGAGACCCAGAGGGTAAAGAGGAAAGGGTGGTGATGGGGGAGAGTCCGTAACTGGGAAGGGGGAGGGATCCCAGCATGACGGTGGTGGGGGGTTCTGCTTCTCTGCTACCAGACCCTCTTGAAGGCTTTTGGCCAAGGGCCCTGCTAATGCCATTTTGTGCCCTTAGAGGGACAGCCCCAGGTGGGCATGCAGCCAGCCAGGTCCCAGCAAGAAGTCGTCAACCTGGTCTTCCGATACTGGCAAGGTGTGCTTCGGTGGCTCGTACCTCAAGGTGAGACCAGAAGAGCTGGAAGAGAGAGGCTTGGCTGTGGGATCGCAGACATTAAAAGCACCTTCCACAAATTTCTCTGCCTGAAACTTTGTCTTCATCCTCACCTCTGGAGCCTCACCTGCTCAGACCCTGAGCGGGACAGGGCGGGTGATCTCCCAGCCTTCATGGGGAAGCAGTTCTCACTTGCCTTCTTTATTTAAAAAAATATATATATATTTGGTATTTTTGAGAGAGAGAGAGAGAGAGAGCACACGAGCGGGGAGGGGCAGAAGGGTTGGACAGAGGATCTGAAGCAGGCTCTGTGCTGACAGATGTCGGTGCATTGGGTCCTGCCTGACCGATGTCGGGCTCCAACTCACAAACCGAACTGTGAGATCATGACCTGAGCCGAAGTCAGACACTCAACCGACCAAGCCGGCCAGGCGCCCCTCACTTGCCTTCTTTAGAGGAGCACAGTAAAAGCGATTAGAAGTCCTTGGAGGAGGTCTGCATCGGTCACCTTGGGACTAGCCCTATGCCCCCCACCCTGTGCTGAGTGCTCAGAGCCAGGAATCACAGGGATCCCAGTCAGAACCTTTCCCTCCCAGACACATATTCCAGACTCTGAATTGGGGGAGTAGGCAGCTCAGAATGTATGGCCAATAGAAGCATGACAGATAGGGGTGCAGACTGGGAGGGGATTCTTTGGGGAAGCGTGTCTGCTCCTCCTTGAAAGCGGGGTTTCATGCTTGCAGAGTTCAGAAGGGAGATCTGCTTAGAGTTCGAATGACTGCTCTTGATGGTCATAGTGTATGATGTGCAAGCCATGCCTTAGAGTTTTAAAAACACTGTATGTGTCCTCAGCTTCCATTTGGTCCTCATAACAGCACCATCGTTAAATTCACATTTGGCTACTTATTGCCCACCAACCGCTGTGCTAAGAAACTTACGTGGATTACCTCCTGAAATTCAACAATGGTTCATCATTTCGTGGCTGAGAAAACTGAAGCTCGGCCAATTTAATTAAGCTTCCCAGGGTCACAGAACCGGTAAGAACAGGGATTCCAATGCTGAGGGGGGCAGAAGGCAAACCCCTGCACACCAGCCGGTCTCTGGATCCCTCCAATGCCCTGTGGCCCTGGTGTACTTCAGGGAAAGCACAAGTTCCAATCGCACTCTGGTTTCTGGGGTAGGCCAACCCGATTGTCCCAAGTGTCAACTCACACTCCTCCCTTTCTTTCTGCAGGACTGTTCTGGAAGGATGATGTCACTCAAGATGTAAAGCCCCAGAAGATGGAGCACATGCCCAGGCTCCACGCCTCGAAGTCCTATGTGAGGGATGGGTAGGCGGCCTTTCCCACCAAAACCACTACGCTGAGGTGTGTGAGGCCGGTGGTCTGCCCACACTGCACATGTCTGATAGAGCAACTGGGAAGGGAAGGAGTGTCAGGGCTGCCGGTGGAAGCTGTCAGAAGTCCAGTGAATAGGGGCACCTGGGTGGCTTAGTTGGGTAAGCGTCCGACTTTCGCTTAGGTCATGATCTCACGGTTCGTGGGTTCGAGCCCCACGTCGGGCTCTGTGCTGACTGCCAGCTCAGAGCCTGGAGCCTGTTTCAGAGTCTGTGACTCCCTCTCTCTCTGACCCTCCCCTGCACATGCTGTCTCTCTCCTAGAAATAAATAAAACATTTAAAAAAAATTAAAAAAAAAAAAAAGAAGTCCAGTGAATAGAATGAAAAGAGCACCTGTCTGGTTTCAGCCAGAAGCAATCCCATGATGCCTTAGTCATGTCTGCAAAGGGAGGGAATTGAGACACATGGCTACTCTGGGGTATCCCTGGCTTAGTCTTCGCCTTCTAGGCGAAAGTGCAAAAGGAAACTTTAATTGTTGTTCCCTAAGGTGAGAGTCCCTCGGGGGTTTTGAAATTCTTCATTTAGATCCCATCTCTTTTCCTCTGGGCTTTTTCCGCTGTTTTCTCTTCACCCTTGACTCCTGGCTTCCTTCCCCTCAGAGACCGGTGAGCAAGGTGAACAAGGAACAATGCTTGAAGTCTGAAATGTTTTTGCCAAGAGACAACCAACCACAGCAAGGCCTCGCTGCAGGTGAGGGCCGGGCCTTGTCCAGAAACACTGAGCCCACCAAGAGCCTGTTTACAGAGGGAGACGGGATGAAGAGGGGATAGACGTTGGTTGGTAAGAAGTGATTTCACTGAGCCTGATGGAGAACCTTCTGGAAGAGAGGGCCTGGAGGATGGAAGAGAACAGAGACAGCCCAATCTTCACTCTGCCACTGCCCAGCTGCGACCTCAGACACATTACCTAGGCTCTTCAAGTCCCTTCTTCCACATCTGGAAAATGGGAACGGTAATAAATACAACCCCTCTGGTGTTGCTGTGTGTATTAAGACAATATATGAAAAATGCCAGTGGCTGCCGGATTGAGGGGAAATTCTCCCTTTGCCCACTGGAGGGCGCCCCCACTTTCTCTCTCACAGACGGCTTTTCACAGATTGCAGCACCTGGGGGATGCAAGGGGCTGGGGTCCTGCAGCCCACCCTCGCTCTGTAAGATCAAACACAGGCACAGAGCTTGAAGGGCCTGCAGAAATCTACTTGAGAGGTTTCACAACTTAAAAAATATATGGGCTCCCTGTTTTTCTGAGAAAATCTTGAGTATGACATGACCCTAAATTCTCACCTTGCTCATCCATCCACACCCATATATCTATATACATTTCTTTCTATTTCTGTATACACACACACACACACATACACACACACACACACACAAACAGGTATATTTATACACACACATATATACATAAATATAAAGCTACTATCCTTAAGTGGGAGAGGAGTGCCCAGAACCCCTCACATTCAGCCTCCCCCTTGCTCTTCTCGGTGGCATGAAGGAAGGCACTTGGGAAGGCTCCTGGGCATCCTCTTGGACCCTTGAGCTCTCTGGGGCCCAGGTAGAAAACTACCCGCCTCTTAGTTATCCATCCATCTTTCCAGCTGAGAAACTGAAAGCCAGGGCCAGACCCAGTCTCCCGACCCAACCTTCCCCCACCCCAGCCCCACCCTTCCTCTCCAGGGCCCCTATAGAGGTTGGGCTGCATGACACATCAGACTTTTCCACACTAGGGATAGCTCGAGGAGGTGACATTAGAACTTTGACCTAAAGGACACCCTGGAAGCAGCCAGAGGAAGATCTGGAGGAAGAATCCCCAAGGCAGAGAAAATTACAAATACAATTGCCCTCAGGTGAGGTTGCCTGGCTTCTTAGGAAAACAAACAGAAAGGCTTTTGGCAGCAGAATGGGCCCAAGGACTACGTGGGTCTATAAGACGGGTTTGGGTTTTGTTCAAAGTGTAGTGGGAAATCATCAGCAAGGGAAAGGTGATATGATTAACATTCTTTAAGGATATAGTGATGCTGCTGGAAAATGGATTATGAAATGGACAAGAGAAGAACAAAGTAGAACCGTCCAGGGCTACTGAGTTGTCCAGGTGGGATCTGCTGGTACCTTAGACGAAGATCGGGGCAGCATTGCTGGGAACCTCTTAGCTGGACTGCATCCGGAGTCAGCCTGCACCTCAGAAGTGCTCTAGCCTTTTGCCTCTTTCAAAAAAACTGGTCCCCATCTCTGTCACCATGGCAGCCAAGCCTCCTTAGCTTGGATTGGTTGCTGGACCACATCACTGGTCCTGTGACTGACCCTGTGATGGGGACCGGTTGCCATGGCTCTGTCAAGTGTGCAAACAAGAAGCTGCCATTCTCTTCAGGCTCAGGGGACCAACCAGCCCTGTGTCTAGTGGAAAGTCCCTGGAAAGAGACAGAATGAGAGATAAGGGCTGGGGAAAGGCCTGTAGTCTGACAGTGCCTGAGTCCCTTGTCTCAAGGCTTATTCACATCAAGACTGCTATGGAGACTTGCTCCGAATTTGGTGGGGAGGGGTGCAGTGGAAGTCAGTGTACTCATTGAAAATTCCTTGTTTCTTCCCATTTTAGGATGTCATTGAACCATTCTCTAGTCTGAGTCACAAGTCAGCTGATTAAAACCTGAGGGGAAGCCTCCCATCCCCCACACCTGCCTGGCGCTCTCAAGAAGGGCAATTTCAGGGGGCGCCTGAGTGGCTCAGTCGGTTAAGCATCCAACTCTTGGTTTCAGTTTAGGACATGACCTCACGGGTTTATGAGTTCGACCCCATGTTGGGCTTTGCGCTGACTGTGTAGAGCCTGCATGGGATTCTCTCTCTCTTTCTTTCTCTCTGCCCTTGCCCTGCTCATGCTTTCTCTCTCTCTCTCAAAATAAATACACTTTAAAAAGAAGAAGAAGGGCAATTTCAGGCTGACCCAAATTTGGATTGAAAATTTGATTTTCAAGCAAACTCTTTCTACAGACTTGTCTGGAGGCAAGATGGGTAGGGTTTGGACCTGACTGGAGTCTTGGAGGTGAGAGAGCTGAGATCAGAACATAGGAAAAGTTGGGGTGTGGGGCTCAGACAGCACAGCCCTAGTTGTGCCCAATGCCTGAGTTCTGATCCTTTCCTCCCCCTACAGATCATTTCTAAGGCAGATGAAAGGCAAGATGGAATCACAGCTGGAGGGTCAGCCATCCCCACCCACAGCCTTCAAATGCAACATCTTGGTCTCCTTTTCACTTGTGGAAGGAAAGTTTTCCTTCCAAGACCTTGGGTCTGCAAAGCTTGAGACCTTGATCTGTCTTTGAGGTTCATGGTGCCCTCTGAGCTTTGAGGCCCCTACAGAGCAGTTATGTCAGCCCCAGACCCAAGAACCCCACAGAATTCTGTGACTAAATGCTTTGCACATTTAACGTTCTGATACCTGTGGTCACGTTGCCCTTGGGAGAGGGGGACCAGTCGCCGTTGCTCAAGCCAACCAAACTCCAGACATCTCATGCCTCAAGCTTTATATTTCTCAAAACACTTATCTCATTTGATCCTCACAAATGGGAGCACATGGGAAAGTGTCAACCCTACTGTCTTAGTCTGTTCAGGCTGCTGTAACAAAATACTGTACTAGAAACTGAGTGGTGAACAAAATATTGTAAACTGGGTGGTTTATCAACAACAGAAATTTATGACTCAGTTTTAATTTTTAAGTGTTTGTTTATTAATAAATAATAAATATTATTCATTATTTAATAATAAATTGTATATATGTATTTATTTCCTTAACCCCTTGAGGGTTAAGATTTCAAAAATACCTCTGGAATTCTAGGTATCTCTCAGCCTCCATAATTGTGTGCATCCTTTCCTTCCTTATTTGGGGTTATTGAAACACTTTTCATTATTCTGTTTTAATGTATCAGTTGTGTTTTTTATTATCTTTCTGTACTTTTTAAGCTATTGCTCTGGGGATCTGAGTATAAACATTTAACTTTTCTCTCTCATTGCAGCAGAAAACCTGATGAGGGGCTCAAACTCACGAAGCGCGAGATCGTGACCTGAGCCGAAGTCGGACACTCAGCCGACTGAGCCACCCAGGCGCCCCTCTCAGTTCTAGAAGCTGGGAAGCCAATGAGGTGCTGGCAGAATCGGTGTCTGGTGAGGACCTGCTTCCTGGTTCATAGACAGCGTCTTTTCACTGTGTACCCACGTGGTGGAAGAGGGACAGATCTGTCTGGGACTTCTTTTATAAGGGTACTAATCCCATTCATGAGAGATCCATCCTAATGACCTAATCACTTCACGAAGACCCCACTTCCAAATACTTTCTTATCACCTTGAGGGTTAGGATTTCAACATATTAATTGGGGGGGGGGGGCACAAACATTCAGACCATAGGACCTACCTACTTATAGAACGCAGGAAATTAAGACACCCTCCTCTGGCAATACAGGCTTAATCATGCTGCCAATGCATGTCCTGTCCCCTGCATCTGTGTGTCTAAGGACATAGCTAAACATAATACTCAACATATTTATCTATGCTTAGTTTTTTTTTAAGTTTATTTATTTATTTTGAGAGTGAAAGACAGACAACATGAGCAGGGAGGGGCAGAGAGAGAGAGAGAGAGAGAGAGAGAATGCCAAGCAGGCTCCATGCCGTCAGCACAAAGCCCAGTGTGTGGGGCTTGAACGCACGAACCGTGAGATCATGACCTGAACTGAAGTCAGATACTTAACATACTAAGATACCCAGTTGTCCCTATACCTAGTTTTTATTAGCTAGATTGACCCCTACCACCTACCCTACTTTTTCTCATCATACATTCACTGTGTCTGGCTGCCACAATACATGGTTCCTGCCTCAAGGCAACTGAAGCTTAGTCAGAGAAGTAAGTCATACATATAACATATTCCTGCAATAGATATTTATTGAACACCTGTGTGGCAAACCATGCAGATGCCCTGCTTCATATCCCCTGCCTCACCTCTGAGTTTACCTGTGGCCGCAGGAGCTGTACATGCTGACAGCTTCCCATCTCAAGGTAGGACTCTATTTCTTGTCTCATGGGTATTCTGGAGTGCTATGGAAACTTGCCTACCTGTGCGCAAGACAGCTCTGAGATGTCTGGGAATTAACATCCCCAGAGGCAGTTAAGGATTGAGTTTAGAAGATATATATTCCTGCAGACCCATCCCTGGTGGGGTAGAGACAAGTTCTACACAGATCCTCAGGGGTCCCAGCAGGGTCCATTCCCAGTTGCCCATCGTGGTGGTTAATTTGACTGGGTGAAGGGGTGCCTATATAGATGGTAAAACATCATATCAGAGTGCGTCTGTGAGGATGCCTCTGAATGAGAACAGCATCTGAATTAGTAGATTGAGTAAAGAAGATGACCTCATTAATGAGGGCGGGCATCATCCAACCCACTGAGGGCCCAAACAGAACAAAAAGGTGGAGGGAGGGTGACTCTGCTCTCTACTTGAGCTGGGACATATGTCTTCTCCTGCCCCTAGACCTCAGGGCTCCTGATTTTCAGGCATTTGGACTCAGATTGGAATTTATATCATCAGCTCACCTGGTTCTCAAGCCTTGGGACTCAGACTAAATTACACCACGAGCTTTCCCGGTTCTCTGCAGACAGCAAACCATGGGATTTCTCAGCCTCCATAATTGCGTGCATCCTTTCCTTCCTTGTTTGGGGTTATTGAAACACTTTTCAGTATTCTATTTTAATGTAGCAATTGTATTTTTCATTATCTTTCTATGCATTTTAAGCGGTTGCTCTAAGGATCTCAGTACACACATTTAACTTTTCACGGTCTGCTTATTTTGAGCCTAATGCAGAAATCTTACTAGCATCTCTTCCTTTCCTCTCCCGCTTTTATGTTGCAGTCATCAATTAGAATCAATTACATCTACAGACATTTGAAACTCTCTCAGACAGTGTTACAACTTTTGCTTTGAACCATCAAACATATTGTAAGTAATTCAAAAAGGGAAGAATAGACTATACTATTTACCCAAATAGTTCCCATTTTTATTACTGTCTCCATGCTTGATGTTCTGGGTTTCCTTCTGAAATCATTTCCCTTTTATCTGAAGAATTTCCGTTAGCAATTCTTTTAGAGCAGGTCTGCAGGCTACAAATTAGTTTTTCTCTATCTTTGTTTCACCTTCATTCCTAAAGTATATTTTGCTGGTAATAGAATACTGGGTTGACAGCTCTTTTCCTTCACCACTTTTAAAATGTTATTCCAGGGCGCCTGGGTGGCTTAGTCGGTTAAGCGTCTGACTTTCGCTTAGGTCATGATCTCGCGGTTTGTGGGTTCGAGCCCCGCATCGGGCTCTGTGCTGACTGCCAGCTCAGAGCCTGGAGCTATTTCGGAGTCTGTGTCTCCCTCTCTCTCTGACACTCCCCTGCTCACGCTGTCTCTCTCTCTCCTAGAAATAAATTTTTAAAAAAAGAAAAAAAAAAGTTATTCCAGGGGCGCCTGGGTGGCTCAGTCGGTTAAGCGTCGGACTTCGGCTCAGGTCATGATCTCACGGTTTGTGGGTTTAAGCCCCGTGTCGGGCTCTGTGCTGACAGCCAGCCCAGAGCCTGGAGCCTGCTTCAGATTCTGTATCTCCCTCTCTCTGTGACCCTCCCCTGCTCATGCTGTCTCTCTCTCTCTCAGAAATAAATTTTAAAAAAGAAACATTAAAAAAAATAAATTAATTAAATAAAAATTTATTCTGTTTCCTCTGGTCCCCATAGTTCACAATGAAAAATCCACAATCATTTGGATTATTGTTCCCTATAAGTGATAAGTTGTTTTTCTCTGGCTGTTTTCAAGATTTTGTCTTTGTTTTTAGTTTTTAGAAGTTTGATTATGATGCATTAGGGCATGGATTTCTTCAAGTTTATCTTGCTTGTGTAAACAAACCTCAGTTCATCTGCCTGACACAGGTAAAGGCCAATCACATCAAGTTTGTAGCAAGAGCTTATTCAAGAGGCAGCCAAATTACAAGATGGAAGGGCATACTCAAATTTGCCTCATCAAAGGGGAAGGGTCAGGGATTTTTAAAGGCAAGCAGAAAAGGGTCTGGGTAAAGGAAAGAGGAGCTTCATGACTCAAAAATAAAGGAAGCTAGAGAGTATTATGCTAAGTGAAATAAGTCAGTCAGAGAAAGATAAATGCAATATGATTTCACTCATATGTAGAATTGAAGAATCAAAACAGTTGAACATGGGGTGGGGGAGGGGGTGTGGAAACAGACAGAGGCAAACCAGAAAACAGACTTTTATAATAAACAAACTGTAGGTTACTGGAGAGTAGATAGGCAGGGGGGATGGTTTAAATAGATGATGGGGATTAAAGAAGATACTTGTGACGAGTCCTGGGTGTTGTATATAAGTGATGAATCACTAAATCCTACATGGAACTAATATTCACTATATGTTAACTAGCTAGGACTTAAATAAAAACTTGAAAAAGAAAAGTAATACGGGAAGTTACTAAGTAGGAGACAGTTAATTTCATTTTGCTCTTTCATTGCGAAGAGGTAGCCGCTGGTCCTGACTGGCTCTGGCCAGCTTCTTGATGGAACCTTGAGTCCCTGCAAAACCAAACACTTGGTTATCATGGTGTCAGAATATCCTTGTATTATCTCATAGAACCATGGTGGCAGGTAGCATTCTGAGAGCAAGGGGATTTGGGCTAAAAAGTTGTAGCTGTGCTTATCTGCCCCATTAAGCCTTTGGTTACTGGTTTCATTTGGAGTTCACTGGTCTTACTGGATCTATAGGTTTGTGGCTTTTGACAAATTTGGGACATTTTCAGCCATTATTTCTTCAAATATTTTTAATGTACTACCTCTCTCTTCTTCTCCTTCTGGGGCTCCAATGACATGAATATTAGACCTTTAGTATTGTCCCACAGGTCTCTGAAGCTCTGCTTACTTTTTTCTCCAATGTTTTTCTCTCTGTTGTTCTGATTGGATCACTTCTATTGGTCCATCTTCAAGTTAACGGATACTTTCTTCTGTATTCCTATTCTGTTATTGAGCCTATCCAGCAAGTGTTTTATTTTGGTTACTGTATTTTTCAGTTCTAAACTAGCACATTAGAGGAACAAACAGAACAGCTAGTGGTAGGAAATACTGTTGGAGAAGTAGCACCTAGAACTGACCATTTGGGGCCTTTCAGCTAGTAGTAAAGAGTCTAGATCTCATACAAAGGGCAGAAGAGGGGCTCCTGGGTGGCTCAGTTGGTTGAGCATCCAATTCTTGATTTTGGCTCAGGTCATGATCTCATGGTTCATGGGACTGAGTCTCAAGTTGTATTCTTCACTGAAGGCAGATTCAGCCTTCAGGGATTCTCTTGCTCCCTGTCTCTCTGCCCTTCCCCACTTAAAAATAAATAAATAGATAAACTTTTTTTAAAAAAGGGCAGAAGAAAATCACTAGGGACTTTAAGGAATGAACAGAACGATGTGATGTACAACTTTAAAAGACCACCCTACCACTGCTGGATAATGTATTGTTGGAGGGCTAGAGTGGAAAAGACAGGCCTGTTAAGAACCATTGTTCTTGTCCAGGGGGATACTGGTAGCTTGGACTGGGCAATTGCACATTGCTGAGTACCTCTAGCTGGCCATGCACTCTACCCAGAGACAGCCTGAACGTCAGGCGGAATCCAGACCCTTATGCTCTCCAAGGAAACAGCTTCTGCCTCCTGTCACCATGACAACTGTGCTTCATCTGCCTCGATTGGTTGCTGTGGTGACATCAGCAGCACTAAGTGACTAATCCTCACAATGACAACTGGTTACCATGGTGCTAAAGTATGCATAAAGAATCTGCCACTCTTCTCCAAGTCAAGGTCCTGAGTAGCTCTAAAGCTATGGGGAAATCAGGGAAGGGAAGAGATCGGATACTAGACCCAAGGGGAGGTCAGCTGTCAGGCAGTTGCTAAGTCACTACGCCTTAGGACTTGCCCAAATGAGGACTGCTATTAGAGCCTATTATGTATTGGCAGTGGCAGAAGGAGAGATGTTTTATGTTGCAGATGGGGGATGTCTCCAGCATATATCCACACGAATTCCATATCCCATGTTTCCTTCCAGTTTAGAGCTTTTTAAACTGCTTCCTTCTCTGAGTAAAACTTTGTAGCTGATTAAGGTATCCCCATCCCTGCCCTTTGCATTGGCATCTAGAAGGGCAGGTCTAGGACAGCCCATTTCTGGATTTTTAAAGTGCATTTTTATCAAAACTCTTTCTGTGGACTCCAACCAGAGCCTCTGATGTAAAATATGTAGGGCCAGAATAGAGGAGATATTCATGGTGGGGATGGTGCAAATGGTGGCCTGGTTTCTGATCCCTTTCTCCTTCTAGGCACCATTCATAACATGAATCCAAGGCAGAGTAGGACCACATAAAGAGCAGTCTTTCCTCACCCACCCACCTCACTTTCTGATGGCATTTTTCCCCTTGGGAAAGGAACTTTGTCCCTTTACACTCCAGGTCCAATAGGCCTGAGAACCTGCTTGGTCTTCTGACATTATTACTCTCAGCATTAAGGCCTCCTCCAATGAATAACAAAAAGAGGTGCAGTATCAATGCATACATAAGTTATTATTTTGATAGCTATTTCTCTGGTAGCTTGAAATCTTAGAAGGGAGAAAAGCAGAGCCACCTCTGTATAACCCACTTAAAGACCAGTATGTTCCATTTTCCTAAAGCATTATATTTCTTAAAGCAGATTCATACTCATTTGCTCTTAGGCCTCAAATTATTTCTGTAAATAATTTTCAAATATCATGTGTAACACAAGTCAATGATAACCAGATAATCTTCCAGTTCCCAGTGTGACAAAATAGCTTGTGTTAGTCTCTTTCGAACATTGACTATACATACTCGAGACAAAATATAAAAATAAATATTTGAAAGCATGGAGACCAACGAAAAGCAAGAAAAACTAGAGGGAATATAATCCTTGAAAAAGGGAAGTCCACGGGTGAGTCCCACATTTAACATTCTTTCCTTCTTAGGACACTTTGTGGTTCCCTGCAGCACAAGGGGAAATAGAGCCTGGGCAAGAGAGTGGAAGTCTGACTGGCCTCAGAAACACAGGTTGGAGCCCACAAATGCCAGAGCAGCTGGAAATGAGGAAGAAATCTGGGAAATGAGTGAGCTACAGAGAGGCGAACCCCCAAATCCACTTACAAGTTTCCTTCAAATACTTAACTACCTTTTAAATGGCACATGTTCACGATGAGATTTCAGGGAAACTAGTGGAAAAGTCAAATATCTGAACACAGATTTTGGAAGCTGTCACAGTGTTTTAAGGAGACCAAGTGTGGGGTTCAGAACCCATAAAATTAGAAGGTCTTAGTAAACACCTTGGGGTTTTCAGTGAAATCCCCAAAGGACCAAACCCTAGGTATAAGTACAATGTCACAGGACTAAGGGATACAGCCCAGGATTAAGAGCAGAACTAAAATGCTCCTGCCTTAACTAGGCTTCCAGCTTCTCTGGCAAAAATTTAAATACCTGCCAGAACAAACTCAACACCCTTTTAAACAAGATAATATAATTCAGAATCTCTACCATTCATTAACCCAAAATATCCAGTATACAACAAAATGTTAGTTGGCAAAGAAGTTGGAAAATGTAAACTGTATCAAGAGAAAATGATAAATAGAAGCAGGTCCAAAGGTAAGCCAGATGTTAGTGGACAAGGGATGAAAAATAGCTATTATAAATATTTTAAATGATTTCCCAGAAAAGATAAATGATTAAGGAACTTCAGCAAAGAAATAGAAATTATTAAAAAATTCAATTCTACAAATGAAAAAAAACCTCTGCAATGGAAAAATTCATTGGTTGAGTTAAATAGCAGACTGGATAAAGCAGAAGTAAGGATCAAGTCGCTAGAAATTATCCAAACAAAATCACTGAGAGAAAAAAAGATTAAAACAAAAACAGAACACAGCATCTAAGATTTTTAGGATAATAGCAAGTAGTGTAACACGTATGTATCTGGGGTTTCAGAAGGAGAGGGGAGACATAATGGGAGACAAAGAGTTTGAAGAGATGATGACTAAAAATGTTCCAATATTGATAAAATACATCAACCCACAGATAAAGCTCAGCAAACCCCATAGATCTCAGGGTGGGGGGAAAAGACATTTTTTTCCCCAGAGGGACAATAATATAAATAAATGTCGTCTTTTAGATCATAGAAGCCAGAAGACAGTAGAATGGGATCTTTAAATGCTGAAGGAAAAAAGGTATGCCCTGATTCTAAACATAGTGGAAACATCATTTTAAATGAAGGGGAAATGGAGATATTTCAGACAAACAAATAAACAAACAAACAAACAATATGAGAGGTCATGGTCTGCAGACTTGCACAAGAAATGCCAAAGGAAGCTCTTCAAACTGAAAGAAAATGATCCCATAGAACCTAGACTCTGAAGGAAGGAATAAAGGACAAACCAGAAATGGTAAATATGTGAATAAATATAAGGCTACTTTTTTTCTTAATGACTTTAAAAGTCTACTGACTTACTGGGGCACCTGGCTGGGTCAGTGGGTTGAGCGTCTGACTTTGGCTCAGGTCATGATCTCACCGTGCGTGAGTTTGAGCCCTGCATAGGGCTCTGTGCTGACAGCTCTGAGCCTGGAGTCTGCTTCGGTTTCTGTGTCTCCTTCTCTCTCTGCCCCTCCCCTGCTCACACTCTCACTCTCTCAAAAATAAATAAACATTAAAAAAAAAAGTCTACTGACTTACTAAGGCAAAAAATAAATTTAAGAAGTATCATGTGGTTTATAAAATACGTAGAAATAAAATATATCACAATATACAGTGGGAGGGACAGATGAATTATATTGTTGTAAGAAGTGATGTGGAGTAATATTAACTTAAAGTGGTTGTGATAAATTAAGGATGATTGCTATAATTTCTAGAGCAGCCTCTTAAAACTAATACAATATAGGGCACCTGGGTGGCTCAGTTGGTTAAGCATCTGGCTCTTGATTTTGGGTCAGGTCATGATCTCACAGTTTGTGAGTTCAAGCTACACGTCACGCTCCGTGCTGACAGTGCAGAGCCTGCTTGGGTTTCTCTCTCTCCCCCTCTCTTTATGCCCCTCCCCTGCTCACTCTCTTTCTCTCTCTCAAAATAAACTAAAAAAAACCCCAATATAATATAAAGATGTATAGCTAAAAAGTCAATAAAGGTGAATACTAAAAATTACTTGATTATTCCAAAAGAAAGGAGAAGAGAAACAATGGAAAATGAGTAAGACCAATAAAAAGCAAATAACAAGGTAGCAGAACTAATCCCAAACATCAATAATTACATTAAATATAAGGAACTAAACAATCCAATTAAAAGATGGAGACTGCCAGTCTGAATTTACCAAACCAAACCAAACCAAACAAAAAAACAAACAAAAAACCAAAACAATCAAACTTTATCTTGTTTATAAGACATATACTTTAAATATAATGTCAGAGATAACTTGAAAGTAAAATAATGGAAAAAGATAGACCATGAACATGCTAACCAACAGAAAGCTGTTGTGCCTATCTCAGTATCAGAAAAAGTAGACTTAAGATAAGCAGTATTACCAGAGATAAAAAGGGATATTTTGTAATGGTAAAAGGCTCAGTTCTTCAAGAGGGCATAACAATCCTAAATGCAGATGCATCAAATAACTGTTTCAACAAACAAAGCAAAATTGATAGAACCTAAAGGAAAGATGGACAATTTCACAAATATCTTTGGTTATGATGGATAGATCAAGCAGACAAAAATCAACACAGATATGAAAAAAAAGTGAACATTAACCAACATGACTTACTTGACATTCATAAAACATTAAACCAATAACTGCAGAATACATATTCTTTTCACATGTACATGTAATATTCAACAAGCTAGTATATGCTGAGCCATGAAACAAAATAAAGTCAAAACTATTGAAGTCAGACAAAGCCGGTTCTCAGACCATATTGAAATTAAGCTATAAATAAACAGGGACACGTGGGTGGCTCAGTCAGCTGGGCATCCCACTTCCACTTGGGTCATGATCTCACGGTTCAGGGGTTTGAGCCCTGCATTGGGCTCTGTCCTCAGAGCACAGAGACTGTAGCCCACTTCAGGTTCTGTGTCTCCCTCTCTATGGCCCTCCCCTGTTCATGCTCTGTCTGTCAGTCTGTCTCAAAAATACGTGAACATTAAAATTTTTTAAATAAATAAAATATAAATTAAAAAATCTAAAAAGTCCCTAATTGCAACATCCTTCCAAATGATCCATGAGTCTAAAAAGTTATGAGAAAAAATAGAAAATATTAACTTGAAAATTAAAACACAAAAAAAGTAATGCTTAAAGGGAAATGTGTAGCTTTACATGTAAATCAATGATGATAAACTATCAACTCAGGAAGCTAGAAAGAGAAAGGAAATGATACCCAAAGAAAACAAAGAGAAATAATAATAAAGAATGGAACTCAATAACATGGGCAAACTCCAGAGAAAAACCAATAAAACCAAAAATCAGTTCTTTAAAAAGATCAGTAAAATTTATAAATCTCTAGCTACACTGATAAAGAAAAAGGGAGGAAAAATACAAATGACCACAATCAAGAATTGAAAAAGTGAAATTGCTTCAAATTCTGTAACTAGTAAGAGGATAACAGAGCAACATTAAGAGGCTCTTTATGCTAACAAATGTGATAATTTCAATGTTATAGACAAATTTCTTGAAAAATTCAAGTTTCCAAAACAGATATGAAAAGAAATAGGATATCTTGAATAGCTGAAGAAATTCAAATTGCAATAAAACTTTCTCACCAAGAAACTCCAAGCCCAAACACTTGAAGAAGTAATATCAATCATGTACAAATTCTTTTACAGAATAACAAAAGAGGAAATGCTTTCTGATTGACTTGATGAAGGAGCATAACCAATTTTTTAAAAGAAAACGGGAGAAAAATCTTTAAGTTTGGATTGTGAAACATTTTTAAGAAACAGATAACATTTGCCACAAAAGATAAAATTAATAAATTGCACTTCCTCAAAATTAAAAATTTTGCTCTTCAAAAGACATGATAAGAAAAGTAAAATGAAATGCTCAGAGTTGGAGAAAATATTCACAAACTATTTATCTGATAGAGGGGTTGCATCTAAATGTTCTAGGGAACTGTGAATATTAGGAAATTATAAACATGTTTAGTTGTTACGTTCCTTTCCAGTTGCTGCTATAATAAATCACCTCAAACTTAGTGGCTTATAACTGCACAAATTTGTTACCTCACTGTCTGGAAGTCAGAAGATTAAAATCAAGATGTCCACAGGGCTGTGTTCCTTCTGGAGTCTTAAATGAAGAATCCATTTTCCTGCCTTTTTCAGCTTCTAGAGGCTGTTGACATTCCTTGGCTGGTAGGTTCTTCCTAACATCTCTCCAAACCTCTTTCAATGTCACATCTCCCACTACTGACGCTTCTCTCTTACAAAGACTCTTGTAATTATATGGGCACACCTGGAAAATCCAAGGATAATCTCATCTGAGGTTAATCACCTTCTAAGATTAATCACACTGCAAAGTCCTTCTTACCATATAAAGTAACATTCACAGCCTCCAGGGACTCTGATGTGGATATCTTTAGGGGCCATTATTCAGCCTACCACAGATGTCTGGTGTTGTGGTTATATAGGAAACTATTAATTCTAAGAAATGCATACTAAATTATTTAGGAAGGAAGTGTCATGATGTCTGTAACTTGTTTTTATTTATTTTTTAATGCTTATTTATTTATTTTGAGAGAGAGAGAGAGAGAGAGCGTGCACAAGGTGGGGAGGGACAGAAAGAGAGGGAGAGAGAGAATCTGAAGCAGGCTCCTCACCATCATCATGGAGCTGGTTGCTGGGCTGGATTCCTTGCACACTGAGATCATGACCTCAGCTGAAATCAAGAGTCTGAAGCTTAACCAACTGAGCCACTCAGACACCCCTGTAAATTACTTCTAAATATTTCATCAAGAGAAAGAAGTGATTCTGACAAAATCTTTTTTTTATTTTTTAAAATGTTTTTTATTTATTTCTGAGAGAGAGACACACACACAGTGTGAGCAGGGGAGGGTCAGAGAGAGAGGGAGACACAGAATCTGAAACAGGCTCTAGGCTCTGAGCTGGCTGTCAGCACAGAGCCTGATGGGGGGCTCGAATCCATAACCGTGAAATCATGACCTGAGCTGAAATCGGATGCTTAACCAACTGAGCCACCCAGGCGCCCCAATTCTGACAAAATCCTAATAATTGTTAAGTCTAGGTGGTACATATATGAGTATTCATTAGATTCTTCTCTCAATTTGAGAGTTTTCATAATAAATTTGTTGAGCTTAATGAAAAAATATTGAAATGTCAGTCTAGGTTTAGAAAGCTCACACACTAGCCTAGAACTAAACAAGAATGGAAGCAAGAGGGGTGCCTGGGTGGCTCAGTCAGTTAAGCATCCAATCTCGGCTCAGGTCATGATCTCATGGTTCCTGAGTTTCAGCCTCACCTCAGGCTCTATACTGACAGCTAGGAGCCTCGAGCTTGCTTTAGATTCTGTCTCCCTTTCTCTCTGCCCATTACCCTCCCCTCTTCTGCTCACTCTCTCTTTCAAAAATAAATAAACATTTTAATTTTTAAAAATTTTTTATTTATTTCTGAGAGAGAGACAGCGTGAACAAGGGAAAGTCAGAGAGAGAGGGAGACACAGAATCTGAAACAGGCTCCAGGCTCTGAGCTGTCAGCACAGAGCCCGACACAGGGCTGGAACCCACCAATCAACCGTGAGATCATGACCTGAGCCCAAGTCAGAGGCTTAACCGACTGAGCCACCCAGGCGACCCCAAAATAAACATTTTAAAGAAATGTTTTAAAAGAATGGAAAACAGAGATCCGTTCGCTTGTTAATTATCAGAGTACAGAGGTTGAACCAAGGCAATGGCAGTGAATGTGGAGAGAAGTGGATGGATGTGCTGTATATTTTGCGGGTTGAACCCAAATATGTTGAAGATTTTTAGGAGGTGAGGATAAAGTAAGCACCAAGGATAATAAAAATAGACTAATTACATTGAGTGTTTACTGTCCACTCGATGCTCGTATTTAAACATCATAACAAACTTATGGGGAAGGTACACTTCCACCCACATCTTAACGTGCAATCTGTTTCTACAACTTTGGGGCTGGGAGTAGACGTAGAAGCAATAGTTCTTGGCACCTGGTTAATATAAAAAGCCTAGGGGTGAGTTAGGCTGGCTCTGGCGGCGGTAAAATAAAGGAGGAGTTGGCTACGCGTCCGCAGGGACGGGGCCGGCCCGCGATTGGCCACGCTGCCAAGGGAGGGTTGTGCAGACCCAGCACTCGCTGCGGGTGGGAAGCTGCAGTCCAGTTTAGCCCCTCCTGCTGCTATCTCTACTTTCTCTGCGACTTAGGAGGGGAGCGAGAGCGCTGAGCCCGGGAGGATGCAGCACCAACTGTGGCCTAGGGGTTCCAGGGTCTCCCGCTGCTCCTCTGCTTCCTGCTGCTGAACAGCCGCCCAGGGGGCTGCGACATTAGTGGCCACGGTCAGGAGGAAACCTGGGGGAGGGGGTGGGGGAGGGCAGGCCAGAGAGCGATCCTGAGAGAAGCGGGTCAAGGGGCCTCAAGGTTAGGAACTTAGGAGGAGAAGTATGTGTTTGGAGACGTGAAAAGAGATCAACGTAGAGAGCGTCTCGCAGAAAGAGACGCAGCCTTGGGGTGGGGCTCCGCATGTGGGACCTGGACCTAAGAGAAGCTAACTCAGGGGAAGATTGTGAAGGAGAAGGGGAAACAAGTGGGGAGAGGGAAGTAAGCCCCGCCTATGCCGGCGCAGGGTAAGCAAGCCGCACCAAGGGACAAAGGGAGAGAGATGCCCAGGGCTGAGGAATAGGAAGGATCTCTGGACAATCGGAGCCCGGACCCACGGGTACGGCGTCCTGACTCCAGAGAGAAAGCTGGGCCGAGGAACGAGCCAGGGTTCCATCATAAGCCCTCAGAGCCTGGCGTCTGCGATCTGATTCCTGATAAGGAGAAGGCTAGTCTGGGGTAAAGGAGAATGGAGGGGGAAAGGGTCCATCCTTCCTCTCCCTCCACTCTGCGGCATCGGGGAGGAGGGGGAGGGAGACCCCCGCCGACTCACGTCTGAGCAGCCAGAGACTGACTGCGCAGACTCGAGGATTCCAGCTCCAAGAGCGTGGGGAAGAAGGCGCAAACTCCTAGTCTGACGCCAACTTTCCCCGCCCGATTCTTGGGTTTAGAGGCCAATGCAGAGGACCCGTGAAGAACTGTGGGAGGAGGCCTGGTGGAAGTTGACAGGAGTGGGGGAGGGGAGGGGGACGTTGTTGTAGGATTGCCCCCTCCCTCTTTGCCGCCGAGACGCCTCTTCCAAGCCAGGCTTCGGTCACCCACTCAGCACCACGGACAGCACCACGGGCCCTGTGGGTCCGGCAGAGGGTGTCAAGGTCACCACTTTTCTTGTTAGCCCTGGGATCAATTCCTCAGACAAGGCTCTCCCCTTCCAGAAGAAGCTTTTTTCTTTCTCAGTAGGCTGCTGGAGGTTCTACTCCATCCTAAAGCCAGGAAATTGGCATGAGGATCCATTTGATTCCTGAGAATAATCCCCTTTTCTTAATGCCTGTCCATAATGACTCATGGTAATTCCATTATATAAAAAAAATGGACTCTCTGCCAATTCTATCCCATCTACCTGGAATAATAAAAGTGTTAAAGCATTAAGGATTGTTCTCCCCCCACACCCTGTCCTTCCCTTAAGCAGTTAGATAAACTGGTTTTCTGGACAAGGAAATCCTATACATACCAAGACTTCCTTCCTCTAAGGATTCCAGGCCTCCCTTCTAACCCCCACCAGGATTTCAAGGCTTCTTTGAGATGCGGCTCACCTCCTTCTCATGCCGTACTTATTCACCTGATTATCCATTCCAGGTGTGTAGCTTTCTGAGTCTCTTCTTAGTTCATCCTCCACAGGCTGCTTTGCTTGTAAGCTTTGTTCTTACCTGGAAAATGGCATCAAGGGAGAATAATGGGCAGGTGCTGAAGAGCAGGGCAGGTGGCAATAGGGAAAGGAAAAAATGAAGGAGGACTTGAAAGGAGTAAGGGGTCTGGTGAGAGGGACAGAGACCAGGGAACCCAGGGGTGATAGTGGAAGAAAGCTGCTTTTAATCAACTGGGATTTGAAAGGCTTCTGGCCAAGCTCCTTGCTGATTCCACCATTCTGCTTTAGATGGTCAGGGCCAAGTGGGAGTGGGGCAGCTCTGGCCCCTCTAAGGATTTGCCTCTCCAGTCTTTCAGCACTTGCAAGTTATACTCCAGCAGTTTGTGTCCCAAAGTGAGTACAGGCTGGGAAGAGAGGCTGGGACCTGATCAGCAGAGGGAGGGGGGAGTGAGGGGCTCTTTGATCTGAGGATGGGGTTTCTTTCTGAGATGGCTCTACTTGAAACTTTCCTGTTATGCTCACCTCATGGAGAAGGGAGTATGACTGGAATGGGGGTGAAATTGAATGGGTGGACTGTTTGCCCTTGATCACCCTGGAAAAACCCAGCAGAGGCTTCTAGAAGAAGCCCCTAGAAGAAGCCAGCATCCAACACCTTCTGATGAATTCAAATCCCTAGTGCTATCTGAGTTTTTCCATAGCCAGGAATCCTTAAGTTCTCAGCCAGAAGCGTGTGCACGCACACACACACACACACACACACACACACCCCTCAGACTGAGTGGGAAGCAGAGCAAATGGATGACAAGTAGAGAGGAGGAATGAAAGGGAGTGGAAAGTCCCTTGGAGACAGATGGCTGATGCTTCCTTAGAGCAGAATCTCACGAATGGGGGAGAGTCAGATAGGAAATCTTCCTTCAATTCATATTATTGCTACTACTGCTGTTGTCTAATATGTGTGTAATGCCTTAGAGCGGTGATTCTCAAAGTGCATCCCAGGACCAGGACCATCAACATCACCAAACAACTTGTTAGAAATGCTAATTCTTGAGCTTCACCCCAGATCTACTGAATCAAAAACTCTAGGGGTGGGAAACAGCAGTGTTTTAACAAGGAAGTTCCGATGCACACTAAAGTTTGGGAATCACTTCCTAAGAGTTTTCTAAGCACTCTTTACATCCATAGTCTCTTTTAATCCTCAAAATAGCATCAAATGAACCAGCAAACAGTATATAATCCTAGTTGAAAATTTATTGCACACCAGGCACTATGCTAAGCAACTTTAAAAAATTTTTTAATGTTTATTTATTTTTTTGAGAGAGACAGAGGGTGAGTGGGAGAGGGACAGAGAGTGAGGGAGACACAGAATCTGAAGCATGCTCCAAGCTCTGAACTAGCAGCAAAGAGCCTGATGTAGGGCTCGAACTCACAAACTGGTGAAATCATGACCTGAGCCTAAGTTGGCCACTTAAGCAATTGAGCCACCCAGGCACCCCTAGGCAACTTTCATACACCAGCTCACTTAGTTCTCTGCACAAACTGTAATTATTTATCTACTTGAGGGAGAGGGGGATTGTTGATCTCACTCTTGTTCCTAGAGTGGACCAGTCAGTGTCCTGGGTGTCAATTCACCACCTCCTTTCACCCTGCAAGTTTGTTCTAGAAGAATGACATCACCCAGGATGTGATGACCCAGAAGATGGAGAACATCAGCAGATTCTGACCCCAAGATGCATGTCTGAGGCATGGACAGGCAACCTTTCCCACCAAAACCATTGGGATAAGGTATGAAAGGCCTGTGGTTGATCCATGCTGTCTAGCAGACAAACAGGAGGGAGGGAACAGATATTATTAAAGTTGCAGGTAAGAGCTGCTGGAAGGACTATGAGAATGATCTGGAGGTTTTGTCTGGGCTCCACAAAAAACAGCTCCATTAGCCATTAGTGGTATCTGCGAATGGAGAGATGGATGTTAGCAGACCCACCTTCCATCTGTCAGCCCTGTCTCTTCTAGGGGCAAGCAAGAGGAGAAATTTCGACTCCTACTCCCTAAAGTAAGACATATGTGTCTTCTCAAGCATTTTAAATCCCTGACTTTGGATCCTACCCTTTCCCTTCTGGAGCCCTGTCATTCTTTTCTGCCTTCTTCTTGACTTCTGGCTTCCCCTCTCCCAGAGCCCAAGGACCAAAGTGAACAGGGATCAATGCTTCATCTCCAAAGAGGATTTGAATACCCTGAAACGAGAGGTGGCCAACCCTGTCAAGGTAAGGGATTGACTTTTTCCCAGGAGTTTGGAATCACCAAGAACCTGTTGAAATGAGGGAGGCAGTTATGAAGTAGAGAATGGATATTGAGGTATGAACAGATAAGCTGAAGAAAAGTTCTTTCCTTTCCCAATTGAAAGGTACCCCCAGCCTCCTTCTCTCTCACAAAAATATCTGTGGGTATCAGCATGAGAGGTTGGGAAGGCAGATGCTGGAAGCCTCTAAGAAGAAAATGATCTATAGGACTGTGCATAGGCATTGAGTCTAGGCATTGAGAGGCACCTGAATGGCTTAGTCAGTTAGATGCCTGAATTTGACTCAGCTCATATCTCACAGTTCATGAGTTCAAGCCCCATGTAGGTCTCACTGCTGTCAGCACAGAACCTGCTTCAGATCCTCTCCCTCTCCTCTCTCTCTCTCATCTCTCAAAAATAAATAAATATAATAAAATAGGCATTGAAAATTGCCAAGTTTATCTATCTATCTATCTATCTATCTATCTATCTATATCTATCTATATATCTATTTAGAATGAGTTCTATGCCCAAGGCAGAGCTCAAACTCATGAACATGAGATCAAGAGTTGCATGCTCTACTGACTAGCCAGAAAGGCACCCCGAAAACTGTCAAATTAAAAATAAATAAATAAAAAGTCTTTTTTTTCTCCATATACTTCTTTACATACATCAAGGGATAGCAAAACTCCTTTGGATAAATGGGAGAGGTAGCCCAGAGGCCTTCACATTCAGCACTACTTCCCCTCCTTGCTCTACCCTATGGCCTAGACAAGTCACCTTGGCAAGGCTCTGAGTTATCTCCTTGAGATCCTTGAACTCTTCAGAACCCAGATTAAAAACACCCATCTAGCAAGATATCTTTATAGATGAGACATTGAGGCCCAGGCTGGTCAAGGGATTTACTCAAAGCTACATAGCAGATTCATGGCAAAGCCAAGACTGGACCCAGGTCTCCTGATGCCCAGACCTTTCACAGGGGCCCAGCCCCTGCCCTTCCTCTCAGGGACTGCAGTGAGAATTGAGCTGTTCTTAACATCCAACTCCTTTACACTGACAAGTCTTTTTTTTTTTTTTTTTTTTTTGACTAAGACCTAAATTACAAGAAGGTGGCAGCCAGAGGAAGGTATAAAGGATCCCAGGCAGAGGGCACTAACAAATGCCCTGAGGCAAGTATACCATTCACATTAAAGGAGCAGGTGGAAAAGTCAGTGGCAGAAGATTAGGTTGGAGAAGTAGGCCCAGGAATGGCCATACAGGGGCTCATGGATCATGGTAAACCATTTGGATTTTACTCTAAATGTAGTGGCAAGTGAACTGGGAAGTTTTAAGGAAGCCCTAAACAATCATAATGTGATACATGATTTCAAAAGGACACTCTTGTGATGTTGGGGTATAGACCGTGAGAAGAGCAAGCATAGAAACTGAGAGCCTGCAAGAAGCCTGCACCACAGGGAGCTTCCAGCCCCTCATGCTCTCCTAGGAAACCAGTCCCCACTCCATCAGATAGCAGCTGGTCTTCCTAAGTCTGGATTGGTTGCTGGGTCAAGGCATCCAGAGCTAAGTGACAGATCCACTTGCAAAGGATGGTTGCCATGGTGCTTCTGTGAATGCAAACAAGGTGCTGCCATTCTTCCCAAGCCCAGAGCCCCGGGGGAAAAGCATGGGAGAGCTGGTGAACTCTGTGGGAGCCAAAAGGACAGACAATGGGTGGGCTGAGTCATTGTAGCTTACTCAAATCAGGCTGTTATTGAAGCATTTTGTGAGGGAGAGTAGGTGAGGAAGAGGCCACCTTCCCACATATTGATTCAATTCCTTTGTTTGTTCTTGTTTTAGGGCTTCTTTGACCACCCCCCCACTGTGTGCCACAACCTTGTTGCTAATTGAGACCTCATGCGAAGCCTATCTGCCTCAGTGCCCTCTGCCCTCCAGAGCAGCAGTTCTAGGATGACCCAAATCTGGATCATTAACGTGGACTTTCATGCAAACTCTTTCTGTGATTTGTCTTGAGCAAGGTGGGTGGAGTTTGGACATGGCCAGAGCCCCTGAAATGGAAGAGTAGGGGTGGACCAGAAGAAGGGGGCAGTGAAAAAGAGGACAGCTCCTTGGTGCTGGTGGAATACTGTCTTGTCTTCCCTCCAATGACCATTCCTGAAGTGGAGAAAGTGAGGGTGGACCAGAGCTGGAATGCAGCCTTCCCCACCCACACCTGCCTGCTCTGTGTGGTCTAGTTGCATACCCTTCCATATCAGACAGGTCTAAACCCTGCTCTTTTATGAGCGTTTCCCTCTCCAGCATTGCCACCCTTGCCAACCATCTCCCACTCACCCTGCTACCAAGAATCAACAGAGAAATGTATAACCAAAGTGTGCACACATAAAATATTTTGATGGTTCCTGCCAGTTTCCTCCTGATACCTGAAAACCTTAAAAGGGAGTGGGTAATCTGACCAACTAGGTTCAGCCCAACTGAACACCAAAATATCCTATTTGCAGAGCTTTATCCTTCTCAAATGTTCTCACACTCACTGGATACTCACAGGTGTAAGAAAATGGGCAGGTATCAGGATTTAATTTATCTAAGAATATGTGTACATATGCTGATAATCATAAAGATATAAACATAAGTTTATATGCTTTATTGAATATGTTATACTTCATTAATAAAAAATAATAACTATGAACCTCTCAAAGTTAAAAATGTAAAAACTGAATAGGAGAAAATATGTTTCTGAAAAGAAGATGGGATTATTTGCTCTCCCTGCTATCAATACTCAGTATGAAGCTATAGTAATTAAGAAAGTGCGGTATTGATGTGAGGATAGACAGGGTAGATCTGTGAAACAAAGAGCCCAGAAATAGGTCCACAACAATGTGGACACTTTATTTATAATAAGTGGCCTTGCAGAGAGAAAGTAACCTTTTCAATAAATAGTTCAGAAACAATTGAGTACCCTTAGAGAAGAAAAATTCACCTTTATCACTTTATGTAAAATGTAAACACAAATAGAATCCAGGTGGATTATAGGCCACCTGTGAATAATTAAATGATGAAATTTATTCCAAAGCTTAAAGCCATTTGGTGGTTTTATTTCACTTCTCTGAATTCTTATTCTGCAAAACTTTATAGATGAAGCATTTAGAAGATGGTACAAGAATAACTTCATGTCCTAATGGTTGAAAAAGATTTCTTAAGGAGGAAACAAAAGTGCAAAAAACAAAAGATGGCACATTTGATATATTAAAATAAGAATATCTATAAACTCTTACAGCTGAAGTAAGACCATTTTAGGATATACTGTTATCTCTGCCATGTAAATGCCAACTTCTTCCAGCTGTCCTCTCTGATAAGAATGGAAAAGTAAGAATTTCCTAAGTCAGTGTTGTCCAGTAGAAATAGAATTTATATATGTAATTTAAATTTTTCCAAAAAAAATATAGTTTTCTAGTAGTCACATGTTCTAAAAAAAAAGAAAGAAAGAAGAAACAAGGCTATACCAAGTCTGTTCTCTTCAAAAGTGTGGCTTGGAGAGATATTTTTTACTTTGTTAGCCCATAGAATATCACGCCAGTCTATTATTTGTTGTTGTTGTTGTTCCATTTAAATAGACCTTTATTATAAATTTAAAATCTAGAGAAGTTCCTTCTCCCCCTACCCAATGAGTTCATAAATACAGAAATCGGAGGAAGTTCTTCATTTAATGATATCATTTATGAGTTGGTAAAAGATTATATCCATGGGCAAGGGTGCAACTTCTAATAGGCAGAGCAATTCTCAGACAGTCACCATTCCAAGGTCAGTAAGGTTTCCTCACTATCTAGAATTTATAGCTTAATTCCCACCCTTAACAGAGAAGGTAAAATTTATGTGATCCAAAAGGGGAAAACTATACCCAAAAGACACTTGTGGATGAGTTCCCACACTTTTCATTTGAGGCAATCTTGACTTTTCCAGTCCCACTAGCCCTTGGGATGTTTTCCTATATGTACTACTATTATTCTTTACCTCATTCTGCACAAAAGTGAATTAAAATTTTCTTTGATTGTAGCATGATATTGGGAGTTAACCAGTGATGTTTAAATATGCCAGCTCATAAGTGATTGAACGATCAGTGAGAATACTCCATGGGCACTCTTCGGCTTTGGTTCCACAAGAAGAGACTGGGTAAAGAAACTCAAAGAAATCCAACAGCCCTCCAGTTGTAGGACAACTGGTTCCCAAATATATTTCATAATGCTGGGGTTGCTGGTCATGCAAATAAGATTGTCGCTTAATTCTGACTTGAAGCCAGTGCTCATTACAGGTTACAAACATCCTCAAAACCTCAAAACCTCAAAACCATGAATCCACACAAAAAGCATGAGGAGCCCTCTGTCAGAGGAAACAGGAAATCATACTGGTCCATTATTTCGGTGATATTGTGGTAACCGGATATGATGAGCAGAAGGTAGCATGAACCCTAGATGTCGTAAGACATATGCATGGAAGAAGAACCTCAAGAAAGTTCAGAGTCCTGCCACATTAGTGAAGTTTCTAGGGTCCAGTTGTCTGTGGCATGTCGAGATGCCCTCTCTAAAGTGAAACAAATTAGTGGACACCTACTGCAATAAAAAAGAGACAATACTCTGTGGAAGAATGGGCCTCTTTGGCATCTGAGGCAACGTAAAACACATTTCAACTCTAACCCAGCAGGCTTTTGTATGGTCTGAAGCAAGGGAATGTTCTGCAGGAGTTCCAAGTGGCAATGCAAGTAGTCCTTTCACTTGATAATTATGACCAGTGGCCTCAGGAGCATTGGAAGTATCTGCAGAAGACGAAGATGTCATATGAATCCTCTGGCAAGCCCCAGTAAGATTATTATAGTGTAGATCCCTAGGATTTTAAAGGAAAGCTGTGCTCTTTTAGGTCATCAGCTATTCTCCATTTGAAAAGCAGCTTAGTTTCCTACCAGGCCCTGGAATACTGAACACCTGGCCATGGGACAACCAGTAATTATGCATTGGGTATTATCTGATCCAGTAAACCAGAAAATTGGAGGTTCATCATGGTGTTCTACTGTTAAATGGAAATGGATTTATACATGACTGGGCCCAAGAAGATCTGGATTGAACAAGTTACGTGAAAAGGTAGCCCAGATTCCTTGCTTCACTGCCTTTTCCACAACCTTATTACAGCCTTCTGGGGAATTTTCTATGACTGAGAAACAGAGTGGGAGGAAGGCACAGAGAGAATTTATAGATATTTGCAAAAAATGGAGGCAACAGTTAGAAGTGGAAGGGTGCTACATTATGGCACAAGTCAGAAGCGTCTGTGAATTACATTGGTTAAGAGCAATCCTTCCTGCAGGAAGTTTTGTTGGGAGATCCGGTGGTCCACTTGGAATTGAAGAAGAAAAAAATTGAAGTATTCATATATACTTATAACAGTGTTCGTGAATAACAGTTTGGTTGGCTGATCTGGGATTTGAATAGAACAAGATATGAAAATCTGTGACAAGAAAGTCTGAGAGGGTTCACTTGGGAGGAACAGTGTGAAGACTGTCGTGGTTTCCTGTGTAAATAACCATGAGAAGACGTAGACTATAGAAAAGCTGGTCAGTAATCAGGTTATGAAATGACCAATTCTGTGCATATCAGTCATTCTCTTTCCGCAGACCCCCTGTTGCTTTCTTAATGGGCCCACATATCAATTATCAGTGGATGTAGGGGCAGGAAATGAGGTTATGCATGGGCTTGCTGACATGAATTTCCCTCCTCATGACTGGTATGGTTACAGCCACTCCTGAATACCAATTTGCTCACAGCAAAGGATAATGTTAAGTCCCCAATATGGCACATATGGTGGTAAATTTTTATTTTGAATCACTTTCACCATGAAAAATGGCAGTGAAAGGGCACCTGTGTGGCTCAGTTGGTTGAGTATTTGACTCTTGATTTCAGCTCAGGTGATGATCTCACGGTTGTAAAGCATGCTTAAGATTCTCTCTCTCTCTCTCTCTCTCTCTCTCTCTCTCTCTCT